GGATGAACTGCAGAAATATATTTTATCGTTAATGGTTTTTAGGTTATTCAATAATTAATTATTTTTGAATAACTGAACGTGTCACCATGTCACCATGTCACCAGGTTAATTAACTTCTTTTAAAAATGATGACAACATGACATTTTGACAACAGTCCTGGAAATAAATTTTATCGTTTATGTTTTCGTAAATGTTTACGTTAATGTTTTCATAAATTATGAACGTGTCACCATGTCACCATGTCACCAGGTTAATTAACTTCTTTTAAAAATGATGACAACATGACATTTTGACAACAGTCTAGGAAATTTGATGCAGTCCAAAAATAAAGTTAGTTTTAAAATTATTTTTATTTTTTTTATTCCTATATAAATGACAGCAACAAACAACAGCAACTATATCGTTTCTGATGAAAAAGTTATTGATTCATTAGCTGAGGAATTAGTTGTGGCAGAAACTAAAACCCTCAACGAAAGAATTGGTGAAAACAAGATTGATTTACATAACTACCTCAAACACGATGGAGGAAGAGGAAGGAAAACTGGTATGGCTTTATTAGTAAATAAAATTTCAAATTTAACGATTATAGATGTTGATATCAATAAATCGTACAATGATGAATTTAAAGAAACAGTTAGAAAAGACATTTTATCAAAACTTTCGGATAAAGATGTTATCGTTAAAACCGCTTCAGGAGGTCTTCACATTTATTGTAACACTAATTTCTTCTATTCAGTTTCGAACAGAATGATTAAATGCTATTCTTGCAATGATTATGATATTGACATAATGACTTCTATGGATGATTCAAAGCGTTCTTTAGTAGTTATGGCTGATTCAAGAGTTCGCAAGAATGCAACAGAACCAATCAAAACATACTCATTCATTCGTGGAAGTTACGACTCGACCATAACCAAAACAGTAAACGATATATTAAATGATTTGAATATTAAGGTAAGAGTTGAACAGAAGAATGAAGAAATAAAGACTATCATGAATGAAAACAAAGATGTAAACATTGACGATAAACTTGCCCAGAGCATAGTCGATGGTATTAGTGATTTTGAAGTACATAATGACGGTGGAAACATGAATTTAGAAAAAGAAGTTACATTATTCACACTGTTTCAAGCAATTAATTCGTTACCTAATCATTTAATTAATGAAGCATACGATAACGTTTATAACTTCTGCAGTTTAACAGAAAATGCTAAAAGTAATTTTGAAAAAGCACGTAGTAGATATGCACATTTAATGACTTCTCCATTTGTTTTGGTGAAGATTCTAAAACTATACCAAAAAGAATATTATGATGAATACGTTTTACCTTTATTACGTAAGCCAAAAATAACGTTTGATATAAAACTTGATGACTCGTTTTTGATAACAGATATTAGACGCAAGGCTGAAAATCATCAGTATAAAAACAGTTCTGAAGTAATTGAGGATTTATCACGTGTAATCCGTTTTGTAGATTGTGGAAATAAATACTTCATTCAGAAAGATTACAACATACACGATAAAATGAATCAAATATCATTCGTTCTTCAATCAAACATGAAAGAGTCACTCAAAATGATTAAATTATTTAAAGAAGAAGGTAAAACCATAACAGCATGGGAAGTACTATTAAATCAATTATCCTCATTAACCGTTAAGGGTGTTTGCTTTAAATCTGATTCCCCAGATGTTTTCTCAACGTTTCAAGGTTATAAATACAACGTTCTCGAAAAACCAGATTACTCAAAAATTGAGATGTTTATGAATTTCATTAAAGAAGCCATATGTGATAATAACGATGAAGTGTATAAATACCTACTCGGCTGGATTGCATCAATGATTCAACATCCTGGAATCAAGAATGAAACAGCAATTATTTTGAAAGGACTTCAGGGAACAGGTAAAAACAGATTTACAGACATTATTTCTGAACTTCTCGCTGGTTATTCATGTAAAAACATTACCGAAATAGGTGAGCTAACGGGTAATTTCAATTCAGTAGTTGAAAATAAAATGTTTCTTGTACTTAATGAACTCAAGAATGTAGGTGAAGACAGACTTGCAAACTTCAACGCTTTGAAATCAATTATAACGGATAATGAGATTAGAATTAATGAAAAGAATCAACCCAGAAGAACTGCTCAGAATGTTGCCAATTTCATTTTCGTAACTAATAACATTTACCCTGTCAAAATTGAAGTTGGAGACAGAAGATACGTAGTTTTAAGAGTTAATGGTAAATTCAAGGGTCAATTTGATTATTTCAAGAATTTGATGAATTCATGCACAAAAGAATTTTATGATAATTTACTAACATATTTTATCAATTACGACCTTTCATCATTTAATGTACGAATCATTCCGATGACTGAAGCCAAACAAGATTTAATAGAATTATCAACAAATCCTTTAGATGAATGGATAAATACACATTATGATGAATTGTGTGCAGGTATGACGTGTAAAAATGCTCTATGCTGCAAACCATCAGACATGAAAGACAAAAACTTTCAAATGAGCATTAAGGATAAATGTGAAAGGAAACAGAGAAGAATAGATGGTAAACAGACGTGGTGTTATGTTTTGAAAGAAGAAATGAAAGGATTATATAAACAGGTTGAACCAAACGATAATGAAGCTTTATAAAGTATGATTGGAATTTATTTTTGCATTAATCCTGCTGTGTTGTCAAAATGTCATGTTGTCAGTAATTTTAAGAGAAGTTAATTAACCAGGTGACACATGGTGACGTGGTGACACCATCAGTTATTCAAAAATAATTCATAAATGCCTTCCTCCTTTCATACCTGTTGTCAAAATGTCATGTTGTCAGTAATTTTAAGAGAAGTTAATTAACCAGGTGACACATGGTGACGTAGTGACACCTTCGTCTCGAAGAGACGTTGTCGAAGAGGAATAAAAATTAAATTTGGATTGAGTTTAAAAATTCATCTTTATTAAATTCATCTCTTCCAATCAATTTATTTATTCTATTAAATTCTTTTATTTTTGCTTCACTCAGTTTAAGGATTGAACGGTAAGTTTCTAATTTTTCGATTATTTCTTTCCTCTCTTTATCGTTTTCAATTACTTTAGTTTTATGGGCATCAGCCCCACCGCATTGCGGCTTCTTTTTGTAATAGCATATTTTTGATTTAATTCTGTTTAGTTTCTTTTTATATTCATTGTCTGGACTCTGAATCTTAATTGAATCAGGACTCTTGGCTGCTTTGTTGTCACTCATTTCTTACGAATTAAAAAAATTAAATATTATTTAAATATAATGGAGTAATAAAATAAATCGGAATTTCTATTAATTTATTGTCAACTTCAACTAATGCATTGCCGTTAATATATCTAACAAATTCAGCTATTGTGTCAAATCTTCGTCTTCTTTTTGTCATTGATTTATTAGTTTTTTCATAATCGAGATGAATCAAAACTTTATCCCCTTGTTTAAAATTCATGAGCCCCGAATTAATTTGTTCACGTTTAACATCATTTAACCTTTCCATTTGCTTTCTAATATATTCCCATTCTTTTGAAATATCATTTTTCATTTCCACTGGTTTCATGTTTATACTTCTATGCCATGTATTATTGTAATAATATACTAACTGCTGTATGATGGAGTCATGATTTCCATCCCAGTATATCTGACCGTTAACCCCTAACGCATCTCTAAGAGTTCTCATTACCGCATCAACTATTTTATTATGAAACGTATATGGAGAAGATGAGAAGTAAAAATTAATTTGTGGGAAATAATGAGCCGTAGCTGCCTGAAATCCTTTATCACCATCACCCCTTATATTATCTACTCTTTCATGATCTAGTAAGTATTGAATAGCTCTTCTTGTTTCCTGTTCTGTTTTCCCTTTCACTGGAATGCAATATAAATATCTAGTGTTAATGTTAATGGCAAATAAATAAGTAACGTTTCCTTTTGAATATTCCAGATGATCGATTTCGTATGAATATGGATATGGTGCAAATGAAGGGCGACTAAATTTTTCCTTTAACGGTTGAATTTTCGGGTCAATTGGTTTATTTAATATCTTGAAATCCTTTTTAAAATCTTTTTGCTTCTTTAATGTTTGAAATGGATATAATAAAGTGAATGATGAAGGATTAACTGAAGGAGGAGGTACTACCGTTGGAGGTTTTGGTATTGCAAGTGGTTTAATTTTATCCGCTTTGATTTTGGATGATGAAGTTTTAGTTGTTGATTTTCCTTTCATTAATTCTGGATGTATTCTATTCATTTGTTTTAAATATGCTGTATATAAAGGCTTGATATACTTTCCCGCTTCGAGTTTATGTTGAAGGATGAATTCCAAAAGTTGATCTTCATTTAAAAGTCGGGCTGAATATGGTTTAACTAATGAATCATAAATTAAAGCTTGTGCATCATTTATGGTCTGAAGGACCTGGGCGTTTTGCACCTTTAGTTGTTGAACATTTGCTACTTTCTCTTTTGGTGTTGTTTTCGGTTTTTTCTTCTTTGGCTTTTGTTCCTTTGGCTTTTGCGGCTCAGGATTATATAATTTATATAATTCATCAATATCTTCTTCTGTTAATACTTTATTTTTGAAATCTTTCAATTGTTTAAGTTGTGATTTAGTTTTTCCCTTTGTATATTCATTATTTTTAATTTTGTCTTTAATTTTAGAAATTATTTTATCATGATATTTCAAAATTTCATTTTTATAATACGGATAATAATAATCCATATCATCACCCGTTATATTTTTATTATGTTTTTGGAGATATGATTTTAATTCATAATAATTAAGAAAATTTTGATTAAGTACTAAATCATCAATTAAATTTTTTAAATCTGCGTTATCCATTTATATAAAAATAAAATAAATGTTTTAAGGGTGCCCACCTCTTTGAATCATAGTATCAAAACCATTATTTACATATTGAATCGCATCATTAACGGTTCCTTTTGTCTCTTCTGTGGCATTTCATTAAAAATAAAATTTTAAATTGTATTAAATAAATGGCATACAACATCCATTTTCACAACATACAGCCTTAGTGTGTGCTCCTGTTAATGCAGTCTTACCGATTGTTAAGCGAGTCATTGACCCGTTTTTAAGTTGTAAATTAATATTCTGACCATCGAAAATAACTTTATCATTTATTATATCCAAATAATTTTTAGGTGTTAATTGTTTATTTTGTCGTAAACTAACACCTTTCATTTTTTGTGCAATCTTTTTAAAATCACTTCCATCAATTGAACCGTTGAATGATGTATAACACTTAGGGCATAAAGCAACCATGTTATCACCTTGTTTCTCAATTGCTAAACCCAATAACTTCTTCTCATGTGCTTTTTCTTCAACTTTATTCTTTAATTTAGGTTTAAATTTCTCATCAAAACAGAAGAAATCAAATGGTGCGAATTTGAAAATGTTTTTATCATAAAATTGTTTATCGGTAACAATTGCTTGAAATGCTTGAGTGTTAGGAAGATTTGGGTCGCCAGCGATTGCCCAATAAGATGAATCAGTATCACCTTCAATGAAATGAAAACGATTAACATTCATGCATTTATACATAAAATCATAAATGAAAACTAAATACCAGTATTTTGCGTTATCTAAAGTAAAAAATGCCTCTTGTAAACATGTATCACATCTATAAAATCTATCTTTAAGCATCACTTGATATGTATCCTCACCTATTTCTCTTATGTTTTTAAACTTATTTGACATACATGCAACGCGTGCCTTCTGTGCATTCATTATTTTAGTCTTTGCGTAATTTTGTGTATTCATTGCATCGTAACCATATGATCCATTAAGCGAAATCTTGCAAAATAAACTTTTTCCTTTATTTCCTTCTAATTCAGCCTTTTGTCTTTCGTTCATAAATTCGTTCGCAAATTCATTAAAACAAGTGTTTTTCGTAAATGTTAAAATTGATTGAATATCATCGATGATAAAATGAAATCTGTCTATTAGATACCAAAGATAATAAGAAGAAAATGGTTGATATTGGTTGTGTGTTGATGCTAACTGAGTTAATTTCCTCTGTTTCTGGTCAACTGGTAGATTGTTTGATTTCATGTAATTATACATAAAACTGCCAATTGTTTTTTTATCTGTGATAATATCTAAGTTTCTTATTATCGGTAAAAAGTTAATGTAATCATTAATATACTTTTCATCAATGTGACCCTTTACTTCAGCCACGAATAAAGTATTTTTCTTTCTAATAATTTCCAGTGCTTTTGCTTTCTTTGTTGCTGTATCACAAATGATAACACCATTCAATCTTCCCGGCATATACATTTTATGGTCAGTATATTGAATGAAATCATGAGGATTAGATGAAAATGATGAAGGATATAATGAATTAAAATCAACACCAACGAAATGAGTCATGATGTTGGAAGTGTCCTCATTTGATACAGTTTTAGTTTCTGGACTATATGAAAGTTTATTAATGTGCGTGATTCCTTTAAGATTAACACGATGTTGAACATTTGATAGACCACCAGTAATTCCATTACGGAGAATGTGATAAGCTTCAACTGAATCTAAAGTCATTGGTAAATTATTTTTTAATGCATAATTTCTTAAATTGATTTTTAAACGTTGAACATCTTCATCTTTATTTGATTTTACGACATTGCAATAACAACACATTAACTGACAATTTTCTTTGGTATGTGGTTTTTCATTATCGATTCTATCTAATGTTGGTTTATTAGCATATGTAAACGCTTTACCACACATTTCGCATTTAGATGAAAGGATTAAATCGTGATAGTATTGAAAATCATCCATTGAAACATTATTTTTAGTATCCCTTTCTGCTTTTTCATCTTGTTTCTTATATGATTCAATTTTATATTTCCAATACTTTTTCGTTAATTCAAAACTTGATTCTATCTCTTCCTCAGGATATTTTTCATTAGGATTAAAGTCTTTATATGCTAAAGCGTAACGAATCATTGAAGCATTCGATGATAAAGAAAGATTATGAAGCATATCAATTTTATAAACAAATGTTTCTTCAATAATTTTATCGATTGGGTCAATCATAATTTCAACATCTTTATTGCAATAATGAATAAAATATTCTAATCTATTCTTAAAATTTTTAGCATCATTGAGATATATTTGATAATCACTATCTGATATAGTTTCTTGAGTTAATGCTGAATAAAATGAATCTTTCGTGAATGGTTCCTCTTTATATAATTCTTCTTCGGAATTCTCCCATGTGATAAATTGATAAGGGAAAAAGGATTTAACACGTGATTTATTGTTTCCGAAATCTTGAGTGAATTGGTCTAATGTCCCACCCGCTATATAATTTCTGATGTCAATAAATCTCAATTCATATGGAGCGTTTGTTTTCTTTACAATGACTTGCTTAAATTGTGAAGATGAACCCAGCATTGATTTTATTTTCCATTTTGCAGTGTTTAAATCACGAAGAATTAAATTTAAATCAAACTTTCCCGAATTAAAACCTATGATATTCACTTTATTGAATTCCTCATCTAGAAGTTCTTTAAATGCTTCCTTCTGTTTTTCATTTAATGTATGGGACAAAGTCCCCGCCGTTTGCGACTTCAATAATTCATTGTATTGACTCATATTTGATTTAGCAACTAATGAACAGGTTGAAAATAAAAACTCAATCCAATCAGAAATAAAAGAATCACTCGAAGTTAAGCAAAAATTCCTCGTATATGTTTTATCATTTAATTTAACCGTTGATGATACCATGAATGGTTTTAAGTAAGCGTTCAAAGTTGCACACTCGGAAAGTTGTAATTCTTCTTTAGTCTCTAATGTTTCGAAGTCAAAAGTAATATAATATCTTGTCGGTTTATAATATTTCTGCAAATTGTGAGCTAATAACCACTGATATATCTTCTGTTTCGTAATATGTGGTGCATATGGTTGCTGGGTCTTTTGCAATTGAACGTCTTGAATTAATCTTCCATTATTTTCTTTACATTTCTCACAATGCTTTAAAAATCTTCTTTGGTTTTTCCTTTCTGGATCATCACGGATAGAATAAACTTCTTCTTTACAATATGGACAAACTTTATAGCCGGTGAGTGCTTCAACGTCTGTTATTCTGTCAGCGTGAAGTTTTCCACATGGACTCTGTGTTAATAAAATATTTACTGTTTCAAATTCTGGATCTATCATTATTGATTCCACTAATGGAAAGTCTACCTTATTTATGTCCACGTCTTCTGGTTGAGGATCACAATAATAGAAATCAATATTAACATTTAACATTCTCGCTAATCTCTCACTTTCTGATGAAATGTCAAACCCTTCATATGCATCTATTGCTTCATTTAAATAGCTTCTACGAGTTTTAGGATTAACACCATCAGGAATGTTATAGAAGCGTTTAAATAACCTTCTACCTTCTGCTCTAATTTGATTATCATTCATTTTAGCTGTTCCGTTTTTGTTCATTTATGTAAGAATAAAAAATTAAAAAATAAAAATAAAGTTTATTTTTTAAAGCCCATAAAATGAATTAAGAACACATAAATTTTTATCATCTGCGACGTGACGAATACATTTTAATTTACTCAAGAATGCGTACCCTGATACATTAAATCTAATTCCTGTCTTATTTAATTTCACAACTTTGAAAAGGAATGTATGAATAGCTATAAAATGATGAGAAGATGTTTTATGGGTTGCTTCCATTTTTTCTGAAATAAATGAATAAATATAATGTTTATAAGTTTTCATATCTTTTATGTTCTTAATAACGAATGGTATAGACCTTTCAACTTCGTCTTCCTTCGGTGCTGTTCTTTCATATGAAACATTATTGGTATCTTCAATAATGAAACCACAATCACACAAAATTTTATAGGTTCCAATTGTTTCTTTTGATATTTTATCTAATAAATCAAAAACTTTATCAACACCCGTGCATTTATTTAAATAATAATTTGTGTAAATATCATGATCTTCTTTCTTAATCGTATTAGTTGCATATGTCACGTTTTTAAGAGCTTTTTTGAATTTTTCGGAATCTAAAGGTGGTGAAAGTAAGATACAGGGGTATTCTTCATTATCAATAAATTGTAACTTATGTTTACGAATAAATTTAGTACCTTCTTCTGAAAGTGTTTCGTCTATTTCACCATCTAATAAATTTTGTGTTGATTCTGAGACATAATTTTTATATCTTTCTTCATGAGATTTCTGTACTTCTGATTCTGAAGCTGGGATATTCATTAAACCCTCTACTTCATTTTCATTATATTTTTCAACTTCTCTTAATTCCTTAATTTTTTCATCTATTTCATCTCTTATTTTTTTCAGTCTTTCAATTTCATTGTATTCATCATCTTTAATCCGTTCTTCATAATATTCAGGGAAAACATCAGGTTCTTTAGGTTTTTCTTCTTCAGATGTGGGATATAAGAAATTTATAACATCATCTTTATTCATTTTTCCATCATAATCTAAATCATTTAATAACTCGGCAAATTTTTGACAATTTCTTAAATAATATTTATTAACTTCATAACCCACCTCCTCTAATATATCCTTTATTTCCTCGTTTGTGAATCCTAATTTTTTAACGTTGTTAGTTTTGACGCTCATTTCATACAAAATCAAAAAATAAAATAATAAACATAACTAAGTTTTAATTTTTCGTAAGAAGTTTATTTTTAAAGTTTATTTTTTAAAAATTTTTTATTTTTTATTTCATTATGGTAGTGAATCTTTTATTCATGAAAATAATTATTTCTAATTTCTTTTACTCTCTCGTATATACTAGATTTAAAGAATTCAGAACATTTCCCATAATCTCCTAAATGTTTTCTTATCCCTAACGTGTGCCAGTTATTATATGAAACTGAATAAACTTTATCTTTATCTTTACACCTTTCATCATTACCAATATATAGGGTGTCCAAAGGTGTGTTTAGCACAAACCTGAATACTGCGAATAGAAATAAACAAGTTACATATATATAAAGTTTATTTAAATATAATCACCATTGGATTCAATCACACGTTCGCAGCGATCGATCCAGGCTTGAAAGACACGCTTTAAATCATCATGAGAAAATTGCTCAAATTGCTCTCTTACAAAATTTTCAAGATCATCTAGACTCGCGAATTCGCGTCCTTCAGCTCTCTTTTTTAGTGTGCCGAATAAATAAAAGTCAGAGGGTGCAATATCAGGTGAATAAATTGGGTTTGGAACAACTTTGACATTGTTTTCCACCAAGTAATTCATTACCTTATGACTTTTGTGAACTCTTGAATTATCAAAATGAATTGCAAACTTTTGTTTTTGTTGTTTGGATTTCTCAAACTCATCAGAATTGATAATTTGAGTAAGAACATTGTCAATTAGATACTGAGCATTCATCGTATTAGGTTTTTGAAGAATATCAATTGCGATGATGCCATTCACGCCCCAAAAAACCGACAACATCATCATTGGTGTGTCAATTTTTTTCTTCGGGAATGTTTGCGGATTTTCATCCTTCGGGATCCACATGATTTTGGCTTCTGTTGCATATTGAAACCAAGACTCGTCCCCTGCTACTAAAAAGCGAAACTTCTTGGATTGATACGCACCCAATATAGAGAGGAGCTCTTTCGAAGATTGGACTCTAGATTTTTTTTGAACTGAATTAAGGTTGTGCGGAACCCAACGTGTATACGCTAGTTTGTAGTTCAAATAATTGTGCAAATAATAACTGACTGTTGTACGTGGTATCTTTGTCATCTCCTCTATCCTTCTGAGTGATGCTCTTGGGTCTTCATCTAGCGCTTGAAGAATTGCTTTGATTTTTCTTTGATCCGGCGATTTTTTGTCAATTTTTATGATGGGCGCCTTTTTGTTCATGAAGTGATACATCCTAACATGATACGTTACAGTGGAATAGCTAGGAGCATCCATACCGAAGCATTTTACCAATGTCTCGTAGATTTTTTTACAGTCTTTGCATTTTTTTGCAAGAGCGAGGATGTTTTCTTTATGATTCATTAAAAAAATGAAAAAAATCCCGCCAAAATTTCCCGCGAAACCGCCTCTTGTCTCAAAATTCATTTTATATCCCGGCATGGCGCCAAAATACAACTTACTCATCATATACATATATTCATATTTTTTATTATATATTTATAATCAGCATATATCTCCTTTAATAGTCTCATATAGAGCGCTGTGCTAAACGCACCTTTGGACACCCTATATTTATATCTCAGTTTTGATTTAGCGTTTTCATATTCATTAGCGTTTAATAATTCACAGTCTTCCTTTTTAAATTGATGTTTAAGATATTCAGGATTTAATACTCTACGTTTATATGCTCCTAACTTAGTTCTAAAGGTTTTTCTACAAAATTTAGGAATTCCATCCTCTTTAATGTCATCAATGATTTCCATTTCATTATTTTCAATTTCTTCTTCTCGTTTATGAGGTCTTTGATTATGACTCCATTGATTCCATGAAATTAAATATTCTTTATCATTATATTTATACCTCATTAGCTTATTTTGGCTTTCATATTCATTTAATAATTCACAATCTTCATTTTTAAATTGATATTTAACCCATTCAGGATTTAAACAATGTTTAATTAATCGCGGAATATCTGACATCATCTATATATAGCTTCTTTTATAAAAGATAAAAAATAAATTATTTTAAAATTAATGTTAATTTTTTTTAATGGTTTAGTAAAAAAAAAAAAAAAAAAAAAAGGTAGTGGGGCCTCCAGGCACTTCGTGCCCTCTAGCCCTGAAGATGTTTAGTATAAATGAAGTTTTTATTCGGAAAATTGTTAGTCTTCTGGTGTGAATTCGGAGGACTCTTCTTCTTCAACATCAAAGTCATCTGGTGTATCGAACTGAATGTATGAAAGCCAAATGTTGTATGTGTTTTCCAATTGGCTTTCAAACTTGAGATACATTCCATGCATGAGTGTTATTTCAGTTTCAACGTAGAGTTGCTGATGTGGCTTGAAGACATGCATGAGAATTGGTCCTCCAAATTCGTCCTTGAAAAACTTGCAGTAGCAAACATAAACTGAGATAGAGTCTCCTTCTTCAATGTCTTCTGCTTGGTTAACGAAATGAATAGCAATTTTGCGTACTTGAATTGTGTTGTTGTCTGAGTAAAATAATGGTTTGAACTTGGGGTTGAGTGAGCTAAGACATTGCCATTTTGCTGTTTCTTGTCCGTACTCACGTTCTTCTTCGTCATCCTGATATCCGTAACTCTTTGATTTGAATTCGACCCAAAGCTGTTCGACTTTTTTTGCAGCTTTGGGTGGAAGACTTTCAATAAGCTGACATATAGTTCTGTCAACCATTATCTTTGTTATTGTTGGAAAATAGTTGACAATTGTGTCACCTAATTCGAATGGGTCAGGTGTTTCTTTTTGTAGTTTGGTAAAGTCTGCAAGAACTTTGTTGAGTTGTTCACAATATTCTTTGTTAAAAGTTGCAGGAACTCTTTCTTCTGGCTTTGAATTGAAGTATTCTTCAGACAATCTGAGTAGTATTTTGCGTAGTTCAGCGTTGCTGTGGTTCTTTGTAATACGGAGCTCGTTTGGTATTGTTTTTGGTAGTGAAAGTGGCTTTGGATTGAGTGAATTGCAGGACAAATTTGAATTTGAATTGTCTGTTCTGCTTGGAGAATGTGTAGATGCTGCAGTTTGATATTGAGGTTCTAAACCTGTGGGTGCTGAAAGTCTGCAAGCAATTTCTTCAGGTGAATTTGGAGCGAACACGCTAGCGAATGCCATTATGAAAAATGAACTGTTTTTTTTTCGGACAACTCATAGAAAAGTTTAAAATAAACGGTTTTTACCAACGGAGACCCCCTCTATTTTTTTATTTTATTTAATAGTTACCGTTGGCAAACCGTTCCATCTCAAATATTGAATGAACTATAAACGTTTTTTGTTTTCTATATATACTTTTTGTCCAACGGTAAAACTTTTTACACAACGGTTTTTGAGAGTCGTCGCCGTTGACTTTTTTGTAGAGCACTCAAAATAGTATATATTTGTCCGGACAAGTAAGGGTCTATCGTCGCTACAGGAAAAGTTACAGGCGTTCCAAGGAAGTATACTTTGAGAAGCCTTTTCTCCATTTTAAAACAAGATAGGACGGTTATTTTACAAAACTGACAACACTTTGACCGAGTAGTTTTTTGTGCTGAACAAAAAGTGTCATATAAACATCTGTCAAAAACCGTTTTTTACTTCACTTAAAATGCCACGTAAGCTACGTAAGAATATACGTAAGAGGAAGAGAGCATTGAAACATCCAATAGTAAAACTGACACCACAACAACAGTTGCAACAACAAATTATGAATGACCCCACTATGTTGCAACAAATGTCAAGCAACCCTATGCTTTTAAACCGAGTTATTGGTGCACAGAGTGGAGGTTTAAGAGCGGCACTTTTAGCGAAAATGGC